GGACATCGCCGGTGCCGTGCGAAAATTTTGGCCGGACAATTTTTTTTCTTTACCTCTGAACTGCTGGACATCTTGCGAAAGTGAGAAATGAAAAGGGCAAAATCGTCTAAGGGGGGCGGTGACTAATAATAAGGGGCGGTAAATAGTAACGCCGAATTTATTTGGATGCAAACACAAACAATCAATAATTTTGAGTATAGGACAAAATAGAAGAGAATGGATGGCGCTTTTATTATTATGAATTAATGTAGACTGTAGCAGCTACTTGAAGGGATAACTATGACACGATTATAATATTAATAATATTTGATGAAAGTTCCTTGTTCAACTTGTTCAGTAGCAGTTGTCTTGTATTAACTTGTAAAAATAATAAGAAAGATTGGTGTGAAAAAAGCTGTGCGTCATTCATTCTGACACGTGTAACCACACCTGTATGCGGCGCACCGTCGTCGCCCTTGTTTGACGCCTTTCTTATCTTGGGCTTTTTTTTTTTTTTTTTTTNNNTTATTATTATCTCGAGTAATGTAGTAATAGTATTTTGTTGTGGCGGGTATTTGTTCTTGTTCTTATAAAATGCAAAATATTGTAGTATTTTTTTTTAATAAAACGTAAAATCTGTAATAATAACTAATGGTTTGGTGATTCTGTTGGAAAACTGAGTGAAATTATGTACTAGGGAAAAAAAATTAAAACAAAAGTTCGTCGTGAAGTCTCGAAATGAACGTAGGATACCTCTAGTCGCAGAAAAGAAAAAAAAAATCAAAAAAAACTTTACCCCACTTTTATAGTTCAGAACGATTTTATTTTTTTTGAAGTGAAAATCAAAGTTACAAGACATGGGGACACGTCAAATTAACATACAAATCATATGAGCACAAGATTTCATTGCATGACAACATTATTTACACATACAAGTACAACACTCATGCATGTTTTTCTTAGAGCATGAATGTTGATACTTTTTTTGGTCGAGTTCAATAGAAACAAAAAAAAAAATGGCATTGCCTCTAAACTCTGGTAATTTCATAAAAGGCTCTAAACCCTAACAATAACTTATTCACCAATATTAAACATAAATAATAAATAAAACCAAGAGCGCTTGGATGAGATGGCTTGGATCTCTTCCAGCTTAACCAGTGGTCTCGAGTTCGAGCCCTGAGAATGCAGCAGTGTTAAAACTCTTGAGGGAGAGCTTTGCCGCCCTTGTGGTCCTACCCGGCTCGATTCCGGATTAGTCGGTTCCCCTGTGGATCCGGAAACCGGAAAATCCCTGTACCAAAAAAAAATAATAAATAAATACTAACTGCTAATTAGATATATTAATTAAACTACCAAATATTCTAATACCAAGGATAATATTTACTATTCTACATCAAATATGCACTTACCAACTAGAATGAAACAAATGAGAATAATAATAATAATAATAATAATAATAATAATAATAATAATAATAATAATAATAATAATAATAATAATAATAATAATAATAAATTGATGATGCTCTTGTAAGAAAAATAAAATGATTTTGTACCAATTTAACGGTTTCATTTTTGTAAGTGGAAGACTTAAGAAATTCTCAAAACCATTTTAAGGTGAATGAGAAATTAATTCTAAGGGTCATACGTTGAATAATTTAGTTTAAGTACTCAAAGGTTGTACGATTGACAAACATTCTATTTTGACAAATGTTTGGCATATTAAACGAGTCATAATCATGCCTTATATATGCTAGAATTGTTGAGGGGATATTTGGCGACGAGTAAGAAAAAACAAAACTAAATTCTGAGTCTGAACGAGCGCGCACGACCTCCTGGCGTTGCGGGCCGCTATGTGCTGCGGAAAGATCCAACAGGTCGTCGCGGGCGCGACGAGCTCACGATGTTGACACACATGTTGATTCCAAAGAGGTTTCTACTCAGTTTTGGTCGACCGTGTACGTCCCAAGAGGTGTCATAAAGTATATTGCGTTCTTTGATTTTTTTCGTTGATTCTTAAGAGTTACAAAAAATTGTATTGTTCGCCAAAGACTTGTATATTTGAAGTAGTACCGCTATGCACAAGTCGAAAGTCGTTGTATTTTGCAGACGTTTGCCATTACCCTTGAGTATTTTATGGGGCAATTTCGTTTTAAAGAAAACCTAATTATTACATGCATCGACTTGGATTTTGTTTCATTTTTTTCATTCTTATTAAGCCGTATTTTTTATATTCACAAACCACCGCTATCTCCATCATTTTGTATGTCCTACAATTTTACTATGAATTATTATTCGTTATAATTAGAAAAGGATTAGATCCTAATTGTAGTCACCTTGTTTTGTAACGTTTGAATCATTCGTACATGACCTTAATCACTGAATTATGTACAATTGAGTCAACTCAAGAATCACGCGAAAACCCACCAAATCTACCATAATCATAGGACAAGAAAATAGCATGGGCTAACTGCACAAAATTTTCACATTTATATGTCGATAAATCTTAGGAAAAATGTCCATCTTTTGTCTCAATCAAATCATATTTGTCCTTCTGTCTGTGTATGTGTGTAGAAACTGAACAATGTAACAGTAACAATATTTGAAGATGGCCACTTGAACACAAGTATACATATTATTCATCTTATTATTACAACATAATGATTTAAAAATGACTCAAAACTAACAATAGAGGGTCTCGGGTTCGAGTCCTTGTGGATGCAGAAAACCCTTGTTGGGAGATTCGCCCACCACTGCCAGGTGTGCGACCCGCGTCGACCAACGAATTAGTCGGGACATATCTCCGGATATCGTGGCTGGCTACAAAAAAAATGACTCAAAACTCAATTCAATTTTTTTTTTTTTATTCC